GTACCAAACGACTCACGGACCGGTACCGGTCCGAGGCCCGGGGGTTGGGGATGGCTGCTATAGGACATCATTCATTGTCTCATTAAAAGCATGCCCTGACATACAGTTATGCGTACGAGCCGATGGGGGCCATAAAAACTGCTACAATTTGTAATGCTGCAAAGAAATTTCAGCAGAATAGACTAACCTGCCAAATATTTTTTTTTATATATATTCATTCAGTTTTGCTTTTTATTTCTGGGTTTCATTTCCATGAAAAGGTGTGGCAACATTTTATTCCTAACACATTACCCAATTCACAACAGTATAGATATTCAGCATTTTTTTTTTCCCGTTGAGATCGGGTGTGTGTATGTTCCAGTAAAGAACTACATTTCAGGAAATGAAAGAATTATGACTGGAGAAGAAAATGCTACTTTGGCAGGTTGTGGTTTGCAGCTCAGCTGCAGGACAGAGGTGGAGCAGTGGGTTCCGGGTTTGGTGTCAGGGGAGGCTGACCCTGATCTGATGACTTAACTGTGTACGGCATGTAGCAGAGGCAGGCAGCTGAAAAGCTGCTGCAACTGTCAATAAAAATCAATTTAAAAGAAACAAACATTATAAAAAATACAATTAAATACAAAATGATAATCATAAGTTACAATCATTTAAATCACATATTTACTAGATTAAATCATGTTAAAGTCCTAGAATATAATGTGTGTTTTTCTGATAGGTCCCTGATAATTCAGTACTTCTATTACTTACTATACTTTGACCTATTATGGATTTTACTTAAAAAGACATATTCATATATGTAGTTCTAGACCTTTCTTTCCCCTTATTCTTCTCTAAAAAATAAAAATCCTTCTTCAACAGATGTGCCATTCATTCTGTGTTGTTGTTGTTGGTGGTAGTGATGTTGGTGTTGTTTATATTGTTGCTGGCGTTGCTGTTGTTGCTGGTGGTGTTGTCATGGTCATTTTTGTTGTGGAGGCCGATGAGAAAAATGTAAAAGCTGGCAAAGGTCGCACGGTGGATTTCAGTTTTGAACTCACTGAAGCTGCGAAGAATGACAGTCAGAGTCATAACAATACTGTTCAAATCTGCATGTGACAAACAATTTGAGGTTTTGTGGTGTTTTGCTAAGAATGAAAGTTGTTTTGTTTTTTTTGTCTAAACCTAACAGTATAGTCTACTTAAAAGATTGTCAGTGAGAAGCAAAGATTTCTTCACAGATTTATAGACATGAATACAATTCTTAACCTTTTAGAGTTCTGCTCAACCAATTCTGATTCATTTCAGGCCCTATACAGTGGGGCAAAAAAGTATTTAGTCAGCCACCGATTGTGCAAGTTCCCCCACTTAAAATGATGACAGAGGTCAGTAATTTGCACCAGAGGTACACTTCAACTGTGAGAGACAGAATGTGAAAAAAAAAATCCATGAATTCACATGGTAGGATTTGTAAAGAATTTATTCGTAAATTCAGGGTGGAAAATAAGTATTTGGTCACCTCAAACAAGGAAAATCTCTGGCTCTCACAGACCTGTAACGTCTTCTGTAAGAAGCTTTTCTGTCCCCCACTCGTTACCTGTATGAATGGCACCTGTTTGAACTCATCATCTGTATAAAAGACACCTGTCCACAGCCTCAAACAGTCAGACTCCAAACTCCGCCATGGCCAAGACCAAAGAGCTTTCGAAGGACACCAGGAAAAGTATTGTAGACCTGCACCAGACTGGGAAGAGTGAATCTACAATAGGCAAGCAGCTTGGTGTGAAAAAATCAACTGTGGGAGCAATCATCAGAAAATGGAAGACATACAAGACCACTGATAATCTCCCTCGATCTGGGGCTCCACGCAAGATCTCATCCCGTGGGGTCAAAATGATCATGAGAACGGTGAGCAAAGATCCCAGAACCACACGGGGGGACCTGGTGAATGACCTGCAGAGAGCTGGGACCAAAGTAACAAAGGTCACCATCAGTAACACACTACAACGGCAGGGAATCAAATCCCGCAGTGCCAGACGTGTTCCGCTGCTGAAGCCAGTGCATGTCCAGGCCCGTCTGAAGTTTGCCAGAGAGCACATGGATGATACAGCAGAGGATTGGGAGAATGTCATGTGGTCAGATGAAACCAAAGTAGAACTTTTTGGTATAAACTCAACTCGTCGTGTTTGGAGGAAGAAGAATACTGAGTTGCATCCCAAGAACACCATACCTACTGTGAAGCATGGGGGTGGAAACATCATGCTATGGGGCTGTTTTTCTGCCAAGGGGACAGGACGACTGATCCGTGTTAAGGACAGAATGAATGGGGCCATGTATCGTGAGATTTTGAGCCAAAACCTCCTTCCATCAGTGAGAACTTTGAAGATGAAACGAGGCTGGGTCTTCCAACATGACAATGATCCAAAACACACCGCCCGGGCAACAAAGGAGTGGCTCCGTAAGAAGCATTTGAAAGTCCTGGAGTGGCCTAGCCAGTCTCCAGACCTCAACCCCATAGAAAATCTGTGGCGGGAGTTGAAAGTCCGTGTTGCTCGGCGACAGCCCCAAAACATCACTGCTCTCGAGAAGATCTGCATGGAGGAATGGGCCAAAATACCAGCTACTGTGTGTGCAAACCTGGTAAAGACCTATAGTAAACGTTTGACCTCTGTTATTGCCAACAAAGGTTATGTTACAAAGTATTGAGTTGTATTTTTGTTATTGACCAAATACTTATTTTCCACCCTGATTTACGAATAAATTCTTTACAAATCCTACCATGTGGATTCATGGATTTTTTTTCACATTCTGTCTCTCACAGTTGAAGTGTACCTCTGGTGCAAATTACTGACCTCTGTCATCATTTTAGGTGGGGGAACTTGCACAATCGGTGGCTGACTAAATACTTTTTTGCCCCACTGTATGTAACTGAGGTTTTCACTGAAATTGTTTTAATGACTTACTGTCCAGTGTAATCATTTACCGTCATTCCTTACTGTGAAGCACTTTGGTGTACCCCCTGGTTTTAAACGTGCTGTATAAATTGTATTGTATCTACAACCATTTATTTGGTTACAAAAATCTACCACAAATTCCAATTCAGAATTCTTTCAGTGCCATGTCTTCCTTTTATAATGTCTCTTTCTGCTATCAGGACCTAACATGGCAGTGATTGTGGATATCGCAGTCTGTCATTCACCAGTACAACATAGCCTGCCTCTGCAAACCAGCCCAACTAGCACATATTGCACAATAAACTCTGAACATCATGACATTATTATCTTTTAATTTGTTTTCAAAGACATTTCTCAGTTTGAAAGAAACCTTAATATAAAGCATGTGTGGTCAAGTTGAAAAGAATCTAAATTAATTCAGAACAATACATTAAATTTCCAGAGCATCAAATGTCACTTGCTGAGCTTTTGTTACCGTTGACGATCTCTCATCTTCCCACCTGTGTGTCTTTTTTCTGATATATTTTGCCTTTAAGAGTAAAGTTATTACTTTTTTTGGACCTTTAACTAGCACAAAGATGGTCTATGGTCCAAACCACACAGAAAGAAATTGTGTGTGGTGTTTGTTAACCTACTGGAAACATTGCATTTGAAATCACCTGGCATATCAAAGAAAAGTTAGTGAACACCCTCTTGTGGTGCCATGCACACAAATAAATCATGATGACATTTGTTTCTTGCTAAGTTTCTTCTGCCTGGAAGCATCTGGGTGCCTGCAGCTCAGGATGTAGAGCAATAATCAAATATCTAATAATTGGGAGTTTGGTGGTTCAATTCCTAGCTTCTTCAGTCATGCTGACTACATGCTGAAGTATCTTTGGGCAAAGTACTGAGCCTTAAGTTGCTCCTGATGCAGTCAGTGGAGTGTGAATGTTACATAGAGCACTAAGATGCAGACAAATGTGTTTTTAGTTACTTTTAGAATAAAACAAATTTTATTTCCTTTGTTGTTGACTTGATTTAGTTACATATTTTTTATTTGGTCCTTCCTATATGTCCATAGATAAATTATAAGTTTATAATACAAGTTTATAAGTTCATTTCCTTTCCTTTGATTTTTTTGAACATCATAGTCTCAAATAATAATTATATTACTATATTTTACATTAGCTGGTTCATTCGTGAGTAGTTATCACAACAACTTAACCATTTTAACTCATATGTTTCCTTTTAGCTTTATTCCTTAGTATATCTTTCCTATCCATCTCATTCATCATGTCATTAGAGTTGTTTTAAAGCATGCATGAGCTGGCACACACAGACAATATGTAATTTAGATTTGATATCTCTGTGAGTGTAGCGTAGGTTTCGTTCCGGTCCCCTGGGTTGATGCTGTGGTACGTCATATCTTCATTTGTGAACACGGCAGAGCACTTCGCTTAGAGAGCACCTAAGAAAAGAATACATATTTAAGAAGAAATGGCAGAATACATGAAACGCAGATCGGTAATGATAAGGTAAAGCAAAAGATGATGACATGGATCAGTCATTACACAACTGGATTCATTTCATTCCACTGGCTCCTCAACAATTGCAAAAACAGTCCAATTACTGCTCTGATCAAAAGATAGCATTTATGAAAAAAAAATAGTTATGATTAGCTGTACCTAATAAACTGGATCCAGAGTGTGTGTACATTACCAGCAAATCTGAGTATCATAATTACCTGGGTGACAGAGATCCATCAGAAAAGCATAGCAACTAACAGAAAAGGGAAAGTTAAGTTGGTATCACTCTACTGTGTTTATATAGAAAGGTTTGAATAGCTTGATTCTTTATATATATATATTAGTATCAACATATATGCTTAGTCCTGAACCGTCCAACATATTATTGACATAAAATCTGAACAATCTTTGAAATCCTTAATCCCATAAATTAAAAATAGTTTTTTTATATAAATTTGAATCCAAATTTATTGTAAAATACAAATTTAAAAGACTTTTCCCTCTCCAATACACTTTTCTCCTCTACAGGCAGCTCCACAATTCTTTCATAGGGGCAGCCATATGGGGGCCACCAAATAAAGAATTTCCAGTTGTATTATGCTGTTGTCAAATTCAGGTTACTTGAAAAATATGGCAAAAATGAGTGAAAGAAAAGAATTATATAATAATAATGGATTGCATTTATATAGCGCTTTTCAGGACCCCTCAAAGCGCTTTATAATACCACTATTCATTCACTCTCACATTCATACACTGGTGGAGGCAGCTACAGTTGTAGCCACAGCTGCCCTGAGGCAGACTGACAGAGGCGAGGCTGCCATATCGCGCCATCGGCCCCTCTGGCCATCACCAGTAGGCGGTAGGTGAAGTGTCTTGCCCAAGGACACAATGACCGAGACTGTCTGAGCCGGGGCTCAAACCGGCAACCTTCCAATTACAAGACGAACTGCCAACTCTTGAGCAACGATCGCTGTCAACTTAATTTCCTGCTATTAAAGTCGATATCACTGAAAATGGGTAAATATGAAAACCAAATAAGATTTTGAAATCTATAATAATTTGCTTTAAATAACGATTTAATGTTTCAACTCATTGTAGGGTGTTTTTGTCTCTCCTGTGCTCACGTTTATTTAACTTATTACCATCACAGGACAGTTTTGGCAGGAAGGCCAGCAAATTTTGAGGTGGTGGCCGGTGCCACCTTGGTGCACCCTGTTTACAGTTAAAGAAGAAACGTTCATATCTTTAACCGTCAACAGTTTATTGGGAAAAATTATTTCACAACTTTCATCTTTGTGTCTGAGAACTGAAAAATGACTATTCCTATTTTTACCTGATTCACTATAAAGAACTGAACTGAAAGATCACGCCACTTACACCGTTTTAAGTTCTAAGTGGCGATGCTTTAGTCATCTGAGCTTTCAACTCCATCTGGCTGGGGGCGTGTGGCAGTGGTGTAAACTGTAGACATTTCCACCTCCTGTGGAAATGTCTCCTCTCTGATCTCTTCATACAGCTGGTTGTCCTGAAGGAGGAGAAGAAACCACCTGACTGATACAAACTTAGCAATAATGAAAGTCATGTCTCATACTTCCTAAAACTTACATCTATGATGCTGGAGTACACATTTTCTACTGGAGGTCCTGAAAACATAAAGTTCAGAAAATAAACATCTTGCATGAGGAAACTTTGCAATACGTAGAACCTGAGGAAGCAAACTCTGTAAAATATGAGGAACTAAATCTGAAGAACTAAAATAAGTTCAGGTCAGTGACATAAATATCTAAATGACTAGTAACTATTAACTAAATAGTAACTACAAGTAATTACTGCTGTAACCAGTCACTGTTCTTAGTTATAAATGAACATCTGGTGCTTTGGTTACATACAGGGAAGAATACGTGTGTGTGTGTGTGTGTGTGTGTGTGTGCGTGCGTGCGTGCGCGTGCGTGCGTGCGCGTGCGTGCGCGTGCGTGTGTGTGCGTGCTATGGAAGACAAGTTTGACTTCTGTGTACACAATTTAAAAGAAAATTATAGCTTCAGATGAATAGTATATTTTTAAAAAGTGTTTTTTACAGTCTTACACTAAACACTTGGTACATACAAATCTGTCCCACTGAAAGTTATTTTTGCAAATAGTCTCCATAAAGTATATTTCTAGATCTTACTGCAAAAACTAGGTTGGGGATAGTCTCCAAAACAGGATAATGCATCAATAAAGTCCTTTAAAAATATTACAAAATGCTTTAAAATTCATTTTTTGTACGCTCACTTATGGGTTTAGTGGCTCTCTTCTTGCAGAAAATCAGCAAAGCTGCTGATAAGAAGGCGATCAGGACAATCACAAACAGACCCGTGTATAGCAGCAGATCTACAGGAGTTGAACAGAACAGACTTAGTTTATTTAGTTTAAATACAGCATGTGGCCGTGGGCCAGTTCATTTAGCCACAGTGTTATGTGAATTCATGTGCTTGCATGTTCACAGTAAGCAGGTATTTTCCTTATCCATTCAGCACCAACACATACAACAGCTCATTAGGTAGAGAGAAGTGTTCACTTAATATTACTTAAAGCATAGTTGCTCCTACATGTCCACCTTAAGATGAAAACTATAAAGAGAAGTTTTTTTTGGTTTTAGGCATGATTATCTACTGCTGTGCTTCCTCATTTTAATTAAAGTATTCATTAATACCTACAGTTCAAATGAGGCTTTTTGTGTGCTATAACTGCTGTACTCACAATTGTAAAAATAGAAAGATTAGAAGATTAGAAGTACTGCACTTTTTCTACTTGTATGTTATTTCAATTTAATGTATTCTTACTTCTAACACAATTATTCCTTTGTGGGTATGTGACACATTCTAATAAACTCATGCATAATTTAAATAGACCCATCTACATACATGCAAATATAAATGTACCTGAACTTGCAGGTTGGGTGGGAAAGTGTTGGAAAGCTTCAGTGGAGGATGATGTAGCAGTGGAGTTTGAACTCTCTGGTGTCATCTTCATTGTTGGTGTGGAGGCTGATGTGACAAATGTTTATGTTGAAAAAAGTTTCAGAATTAAATTTAGCATTGAAACACTTGAAGCTATCAATAATGAATAATGCAGCTAGTTAACTGACAGGTTCACTGGAGGTTCATTAATATTCTTTTAGTGAAACACGTACAAGAAAGTAATAGTTTGGACTTCACAGCAGAACTGATAAAACTGCATTTTTACAGTTGATACAATATACAAAGGTTATTTGAATAAGGTGTCAGTAAGTATTTGGACAGGTATGAACAAACATTTTCGTGACATTCAGCAGAAACTCACCTTCTTTGACAGAGATCTGAAATTCATAGTTTGAATCAAAAAAATCTACACCCATTCTGCCCAAAGAGCACCTGTACACTCCCGAGTCAGACACTTCCAGCTTTGTGATGCTCGCATACATAATTGTCTTAGTTCCTAGAAAGCTTCCTTCTTTATATTCAATGCTGTATCTGCCTCGTTGAGCTGTGTCCTCTGTTGTTTCAATGAGAATTTTTCCTTGTTCACATTTTTCCTTACAGAAGAGCCTCAAGCTTCCAGACAAAGAAAATGAACAGGCAACTGTGATGTTTCCTCCCTCCCTTTCTGCATGGATGGGAATTTCAGCAGCAGCAAGATCAGCGTTTCCATCCTGAAGTGCTTCTGAAAATGCAAACAATCAGTAATTACGACATGCCCAAAATAATTTAAAACACCTTTATAAATTAAATTGAAGACCAAAAATTATTTAAGCAAATCGAACATTTTCAGTTTCAGTTAAATTCACTACATTTTTATTGATTTTGAATTTGCAAACACAGCTCCATGATTCTTCCTGACATCAACACAAATCATCGGCTGATGAAAACTCAGAACCTTATTTTAAAAAAGCTTGAAAGCTGGACTTTTTGTGTTTCTGATTAAATCTTCTTTTGCTTTCTTTGAATGTGAAATGGAGGTTGTGGATTTGTTGTTTAACATCTGAAGATTTCCGTTAACACGTTCATGTTGTGCTTTTTAAAACTGTCACGGTTCTGGGTCTGTTGGACCCAGTATTTTGAGTTTATTATGTTTTGGTTTATTTTTGCATTATGGATTGTTTTCTGATGTTCTGGTGCTTTGTTTATTATTATCATTATAGATCTGTTTCTGTTATTCTTGGTGAGGGATCAGTTCTTAGGTTTTGGGTTCTCATGTGTGTTGCAGTTTCTGTTCAGTGTCTAGTCTGTCTCTCAGTGTCATGTCTGCATCTGGTTTAGTAATTCTTGTTTCCTGTCTTATTGTGAAAGTCTTTGTCTTATGTTAGTGTGTGCAGCTTAGCTCCCCCGTCTCGTTAGCCCTGATCTCCCCCAGCTGTGTCTCCCTTCTGTTGCCCATTCCCTCATTACTACCCTGTGTATTTAAGCCCTGTGTTTTCCCATGCTCGGTGTCGCGTCGTACCCTCAGATCCTGCCTGTGTGTTCCAGTTAGTGTTTTCATGTTTGGTTTCTGTTTTGTTGGTGCCAGCAATAAAGCTGTGGTTTTCAGTTATATTTCCGTCTCAGAGTCCTGCACTTGGATCCACATCTCCACCTCCCCGCACACAGAGCCCTGACAAAAACAATGGAAACGACTCTCTAAGATTATTTTTTTAATATCCTGCGTATTTGCTAAAGCAGTAAGTCTGACGCAACACCAGTCTGCACTTCTAACTCTTTATAGCAGAAAAGGCAACGAAAAATTGATCTTTTAAAAAAAGAAAAACATTTGGGTGATTCAACAAAGATGAAACTATGATTAGAAGGCCAATGTCTAACGAGAGATCTATTGTGAAACTAAAAATATATCTATAAAAAAATATTTTTGTGCTAAGAACTTATTTTCGCCATACATTTATATTTTTAAGCAGTTAAATTGTGTTGTTGGTGAGCTATGTGTGGAAGTGACCTTTTCCCAACTCTTAACCACGTGTTTAACCACAGAAACCAATAACTTGTAAGCGAGAGGTGACAATAATGAGCAAAACAGAATAAACCATTTAAACTCTTCAGCAAGTTGCAAAATGAATTCGTTAACACCACATAGAAATAAAATAATAATAAAAGTGATAAAAACAAGTTAAATAAGAAAATTTACTCACGAATGAAGATGAAACAGACCAAACTGTGACACAGTTTCATATCGAGACTGTGATGAGTAACTGCTTCCTCTCTTCCTTCTTTAGTTAGAAAAAAGGAACATTCGACTTCCTGTTTTGCAAGAATGATTTAGTCCAATTTTATGAAAAGGTTTCATTAACTACAGACAAAAATTAAATCCTTTGTTTTGAATGTAAAACAAACCAGAACTAGTGTAAGTAAAAGTGCATTTCAGTGCATGCTTCAGCTGTTGCAATGTTTGTTCATTGCCCCTCATTGGTTTTGTTTCAGTCCTGATTTTAGCTGATATTTGTGCAAAATTGTGAGGTTAACCACAAACAGTGATATTGTCTTTTGTAACAAAACCATGATAATTTACTACTCACACAGGGTTTTTACCACTCAGAAATTTGACACCGGAAGAAACCTTAAGTTGAATCTAAAGGTTAACTATGTTGGCACATTAGAAGAAGTGTGTGTAGGTTTGGTGGCAGAGAAAGTCAACGAGGTTACACACAGATGAACAAGGAAGGAGAGGTGGCAGTTTAAACTGTCACATGAGAGATGACCTACAATACTGAGACACAGAGACTAGAATAATTTCAGAGTCTGCCAAGTTGTCCAGGTGAAGTTTAAGATGAGCATGTGCAGTTTCTAATGTATCTAAACTACGAACCATCTTAACAACTTCCCCAAACACTATTCAGCTGAATTACAGTCAAAATCTTGTCTTGTGTGTTCTTTTGCAAGAACATGAGATTGTACGCTGTGCTTAACACTCGCAGGTAAGTACTCATGACTGCATGTGCCTTCTGCAAGGAGATCTTACCTGTCATGAGCAAACCAGTCTTCCATACTTGCCTGTTTTTTTTTTAGCATGCTTTTCTTTTTGTACTTTCACTTTGTCCCGTGTTCCTGCACACTGCACAAAAACATATATTAGTGTCACACATTGTGAATACCCACAGTGGCATTGAAGTCAAGCACTTGTGGTTGCAACATGCCTTAGGTTGTCCCAAGGTTGTGCAGGTGAATCTTACCTGTGATGGCTTCACCAGCTTCCATACTTGCCTCTGAAAATGTAATAAGTGATTTATTCAGCTCTTTTGGTCTCAACTGTGCCAAACATGCTGCGTAGCAGGTTATGTTCCAGATTAGAAATCCACAGATATTAAATCGTCACGAACTGACTGATTGGATCATTGGAAAAAGCATCTCCATTCCTGGAAGATCCCTCAGGCCTCTGTGTGTGGACAGCAGGAGGGTGTAAAGTTTTCCGGTGGGAAAATATGGTTAGGAGTAAGGTGGACATCATAGACATTAAAGTCTAATCAGGGAAATGTGCTGGACAATAGATGCTAGTAGACAATTGGGTCTATTTTCTACCACTTTCCCATGATTATCAGTAAGAAATATATAGTCTTCGAGGAAACTTTATTTTTTCCTGTTGGTTCCAAATATTTTGTTTGTTCTCTAAGCACAAGTACATGACACTAAAACAGAGTACTTGTTTGTACTTGCTAAACTTACATCCAGTTTGCATGTAGACTAATTTTTAATTTTGTTATTTATTCTTTACTTACTCTCAAACTATTAAACACCACCGAGGATTCAGATGAGAGAATAAAGTAGTGCTACATTTATATCTAGTCTACATCTACTAGATCTTCAGAGAGTACTTCAAGTAATCTTGGTAACCTTGCAGTAGCTTGGTTTCAAGCTTCACCGTGATCCCATCTTGCAGGTCAGTTCCTCTCACACTCAAAGCTCCTTCTTCCATCACTCTTGGGGCTTGTTACCCGATTTTGGGTGGGGGTGGTTATATTGTTAATGGACTGATTCATATATGGGTGAATGTGCAACATGCCACATTCACCCATTCACACTCAGTCACACATGCACTTTTTTAAGTGCTCACTAACTGTTCTTCTAAAAAATGTAGCTTGATCTCTGATCCTTTAAAGAAAGTTCAATTCACTTTCATTATTAGCTTCAAGGGTCTCTAGACCCAAATACAATATTGCATCTTATATTTGATTTCAGTTAAATTTTAATGGTGTTTTAAAACTTTGAAGTCCTTAAACTTACTACTATGCAGTTTATTATGTTGCCAGAGTCGCTGAAGACCAGTGTTGGGCAAGTTACTTTGAAAAAGTAATTAATTATAGTTACTAGTTACTTCTTCAAAAAAGTAACTGAGTTAGTAACTGAGTTACAATATTCTAAAAGTAATTAATTACTTGAAAAGTAACTATTGCGTTACTTTAAAAAAATGTTTAAAATGTTTAAGCCTCTGGGGTCCAGGTGCCATTTTTAACTACTTTTGATTTTCCCTCCACATTTCACCTTTAAAAACAGTTTATTTGCCTTGTTTGGTATCATCCTTTTCAGCGCAACGTTGTGTGTCTGAATAAAGAGTTGTGTTTTCATTCTGACATACTGTATTAACACAACTGATCTAAAATCAGACAAAAAAAACATAAAATAAGAGTAGAAAAAGTTATATTTTTTATCGTAACAACCACAAACATGTTTATTGAATCATATTTCATAACTTTAAATGCAAATATAAATTGTCAATTTTAAAATCATATGCACAAGTTTTGCAAACAACAAAGTTATTTGCAGCCATTTACCTTTTACCTTTTTTAAATAACCATTTCAAACTATTTACAGAACAATCAGCTGTTCTGCATTCAATAAGATGCCACACAAATTATTTGTGCCACTCCAAAAACATAATTTCTGTCCACTATAAAGGAGAACATCACAGCCTGATACCTGCAGGTCTGACAGCAGCAGGTGTATCACTCCTTTTTCTACCTGGAGACAGCAGTCGCCTCATTGTTCTGACACACAACACAAAACTATCCACAACACTACACACTAACTACACAAGACAACACATTAACTACACACTCCAAACACGCTAAACGTCACAAATCTCTCACATCTCAAAACTCTCTCTCTCTCTTTTTCTGCTCTCTCTCTCTCTCACTCCTAAAACGTCCGTTTTTTTTTGTTTGTTTTTTTTGCATGAGCAGAGAGTGCTTGCTAGCGCCGTCCTTAGACAGTAAACATGACTAAACTATTCAGGAAAAAAACGCTGCCTATATATTGTTTATCATGACTCTGGTTTTACGTAGCCTATCAACACAATTTAAAAACTGGTATATATCACCTTGTTGCTTTGTCTTTAAGTGGTCATGTGATTGGCTTACCACGACTACTTTATTCTTCCTCAGTCAAACAGCAGCACTCATGCGATTGTTTTGACCCCTTAGCTCCAGGTGTCGTGCTAGAAAGTGATCGTGATTACTAGGGGTGCAACAATACTCGTATCGATATTGAACCATTCGATACAGTGCTTTCGGTTCGGTACGCATATGTATTGACAATACAAAATTTTTAATTTATTTTATCAACTTTTCTTCTGACGATGCTGTCTGTGTTGAGCGCTCAGTGGATCTGCGTTCGACTACTCCGCCTAGGCTGCACTGTCGAGTGCAGATCCACTGAGCGCAGCGCAAGCTAGCAAGACAGAAGCTAAGCTCGTTGCAACATGGCAACTGCCTCAACGCTACCCGAAATTGAACCTCCCCCACCCTCATTCAGATCTGGCGTTTGGAACTATCTTGGTTTTCATGTGAAGCATGACCCTGATGGTAAGCGCGTCATGGACAAAAGTAAAACAGTATGTCGGATGTGCCACGCAATGCTCAATTGGTGGGAACTAGTGCGTTAGCGCAGTTAGCTCGTTAACGTGTTGACGCCCCACGCACGGAGTGATCCGAAGTAACTTGTTAACGGAGATTTTCCGTGTCATTTTAACGAGATTAACGCTGACAGCACTAGTGGGAACACAACGAATATGACTGCACATTTACGCCGACATCATCCTAGTGCAAAGACAAGTGGAAGCAGACAAAAACAACAAGCAGCATGCTACAAACTTTACCCGAGTCATTTAGACAGCCGTTAGCACATGATTCTCCTTATGGGGACCTGATATGTTTAATATGCTGCTGAGAATATAGCCCAGAAGAAGCGTATAGTATAGCTTTTATTTTGGAAAGAGCCATTTCTCTGTAATAAACTCTCTTTTCCAAAGATGAGTGATTTCTTGATCAGAAAGATTTATTTATTTATTTTTATTATTTTGTTGTTTCAGCAACATTTAATTTAAAAACTGTACTTTTGAATTAAAATATATATTTATAATTTTAATAGATGACAAAATTAAAAGGCATGAACATTTTTTTGTATCGAAAAGATATTGAACTGTGACACCAAAGTATCGAACCATCACTGCTGAAGACAAACAAATTGCTGTTCATCAATACTTTGAAACATAAGAGTTCAGTTTGAAAGCATACAACACAATATTTGTGAGTACTGTTGCTTTTAGGTTAACTGAGGATTTTGTACATTACAAGAAAAAAACAAAAGAAACTCACTGGCACATTCAAATCTTTATATATTTTTTTTCCATTAAAGGAAAGAAAAAGGATGAGTTTGAAGTCACAATCCATAGTATGAGTTTTTGTTTCTCTGGTTGCAAAATGAACCTTTATGGTATAAAATCCATATTCAGATGTGGACAGTATCATTTGTGTTGTTGTATATGTGTGAGTGAAGAGTAGATTTGATCCAGGTCCCTGCTGGCTGGATCAAGGCTCTGATAGATCGGATCGTCTGGCATCGGGACTGGAGAACAATTCTCATAAAGTGTAACCTAGGGGAAAATATACAGATTTGATAAAACTGTGACACATTCAAACAGAAACTGATGACATGCCTTAGCTTTAAGTAATTGAGGAAAATTGCAGAATTCACCACCATCCTCCCAGACATTTTCACCAGCACGATGCATCCGGACCTCACCACCATCATCTGCATGTTGGTAAAATACTTAGCTAACTAGACATAGAGAGCTAGACTCCATCCCCAATTTTTTCCATGTCACTCTGCACCACTGCTCCTCGAAACCGAGCCCACTGCCTTACTTCCTGTAGAAACCAAACAGCGAGCCCATAAATGCACGGCACAACAAAGACAA